ACTTATACAATAATACAAAAATATTGTATGTTAAAATATTAAAAAAGGGAAATTTTTTATTAATGAATTGTTTAAAGGGAACATTGAATAAAGAGAGAGCAATAAAGAAGGAGAAAATGAGATAGGGCAACCTATTTATTTCGCGCATGCGCATCGTTACTACATATACTGTGCTAGTGCGTTTTGACAGAGCGAAAGAAGGATGAAAAGAGAAAAAGCACAGTCTAGTACTTCGCCTATTTCGCGCATGCGCACTCCATTTTAGGCAACACTAACATCAAAGGTGCCGACAGAGAGTTGCGCTACTGTATATACTGTGGCGAGGCGCTATACACACACACACAAGCATGAACCCATGTCTGTGCGCTCCCCTTCTACCCGAAAATGAGCACACGGACATGAGCTTGCAATTGTGTGTATAACCAGTAACGTACTACCAGTTTTGCTAGCCACCGTCTAATTCGGTGTCGCTACCCATCAACACGGAGTTCTTGGCTGAGTATTCAGGAGCCTTAATGTATCTTCCTTTTTTCCAATAATGCTTTTAAACCGCACTACACATTCTAGATAGTATTACCTGCTAGCTGGCTTGCATATCGATAAATGATCCTGCGGAATCTCGAAGAATTCTCCCACGCCAGGATCTGGAAAGACAAGTCAGTATATTGTTTTATATGTTTTGTGTGTTTATGTGTGGTGTGTATTGTTGATAAAAGAGACATGTTACATTTATCTACAAATGCATACCAAGGTAAGCTAATGTATAATTATATGCAAACAAAATATCAACATACAGGTACGTCTAATCTGTCTTAAAGTATTACCTGCTGAATTCAGACTGACAAACTGGAAAGGAAACTTCAGCGCAGTTACAAGCGTAGGTTTGGCCTCGGCGAAACTCACAATTTCTATGCAATATTTATTCAACATTTCTAAAAACTCTTCATGCAATCTTAATAATTGCGGTGATTCTGAAACATTAGAATGATAAATTACGTCGTGTTAATTAGAACCGAGACACTATCGTGTCTCCAGATTAGAGATTAACAATTACCTTCACGTAATTCTTGAACCTCGACCGTTGGCCATAGCAGCATTTGTGTCGTTTGCTTCAAAGCCGCCACATGTGAACCTCGATGAGGAGTACCATAAAATAGAATAGCTTTGGTATTCTTGCAGATACCGTTCTTATCTCCAGTTTTCCATTCTACAACCACAGTATAGCATATAACGACTCTAAAGGTAACAATAATAATTTTCCAAAAAATCTTAATAATAATATATACACACTAATTATACTCTTTTTGTTCGAAACAAATTAACAATCATAAAAACAGACAATAAAGAGTCGAACGCTGTTGACAACGCGAAAAAAATTTAATAAGTCTTACAATAAACATGAAGATTATCCGTCGAACGTTTCAGTCTGTAATTTAGACCATCTTCAGCGACAATATAATAATAATACAAAACTTCATTTACTTCGAGTTAGAATGCATATCGTAGAAACAAATATTGTTGAATGACAAAATGTTCTTGTGCACCAACTGGAGATAAATTCATCGTTTATAATGGATATGGAATTGTGTAATTAAAATTTATATGTCTCGGAAATATGTCTGTGAAAAAAATCATTGCCATAAAAATTCTATTAGTGTCACATTATTAATTTCCTCTATTTAAGATTATCCAGAACAATTACTAAAAAAAAAATTTTTTTTTTTAATACACTCACCTCTGTTGGTAGACAAAAACATTATTTCACAATTAAATTCATAATCTAATTATATTAGAAAGTCAGAATATAGTATATATGCGTCCGTATTCAACAGTAAGAAACGATACAATGAGGAACCGTTAAATTAAACAATAACAAAAAGAGAAGCTTAGGTCAAATTATTGTTTGTCAATTTATCTAAAATATCAGCATATGACTGATCAAGACCTTCGGTGCCAGTTTTTAAATTAAGACCATTATTTTGCGATTTAATATAAAGTATAGTTTCAGAAATCAAACGTTTATGATAAAAATTTTCACACTATTCCAATCAAAATCATGATTATGCTGCAACCTATGATCGGTAATGACAGATCTGGAGGATGTATTTCTCCGTATATGACTGCGATGTTCATTTACTCTCGTTTTTAACATTCTCTTAGTCTGACCAACATATGTAGCATCACAATCATTACATTGAATCTTATATACAATATTCTTTTTCATTATATGTGGAAGGGGGTCTTTCTGTACTTTAATAAAATTATTTAATTTATTAATACTATAAAAAATGCAATTCTGTGATTTATTCCATTGACTATGCTTCTGAAACTGTCAGAAATTCTCTTTACATACGGGATTGTGAACCAACTAGTATTATCCTTTCTAGCATTGTTATTAACAACTTTAGGTTTTAATGGTTTATCCATAATTGCATGAATTCTTTTCTTAACTTCTTCGAAAACAAAATCCAATGGATGGTCATTAAGTATTAAAATATCAATAATAAATTTCAAATTTTTCTTATGGAATTCTGGGTGTGAAAGTAAAAACGCCTTATCGACTAAGCCATATATTACACTTATTTTTTGAGAAAGGGGGTGCTGAGACCAAAAATTTAAAATTCTGCCCGAATATGTAGGTTTCTGAAACCAGTCAAATTGTATAAAATTATTATCATGGTAGTATCCAGGAAATCAATTCTGTCACCACCTATTTCAATTGTAAATTGTAACCTTGGATGATAACTGTTAAAACTTTGTAGTATCGTATCAATTTGTTCCCTGGGTATACCGCCAAGACAATGTCGTTAACATATCTATAATAAAACGGAATGTGAAAATCAAATGTGCTCAATACCTCCCTCTCAAGGTCCTGCATGACTAAGTCTGCCAAAACTGGAGATAGAGGAGAACCCATAGGTGTCTCATAACTTTGCTTGTAAATCTGACTGTCAAATATAAAATAAGTTGATTCAAGAATCATTTTAACTGCTTCTATAAATTCAGTTTTTGGAATACATTCAACAATTCATTGATAAATAATTCCATCTGTTGGAAATCGATTTCAAAGCTGCCTTACAAGGATT